CAGCCACATTGTTCCCAAATGACTCCACAAACTGGTGTGGCATACTGGTCAATAAGCATTCCCTACTTGGCCAGTGCACCAATGGACACAGCTGTGCGTACATCACACCAAGGGTATGGTGAAAGGCATCGGCGACTGTTGTCCTATGTACTCTAAACAGATGGCTGAGGTGCTGTATTGGAAGGTCCAGTCTGAGGCGCATTAAAGTCAATAGGACAAGCTGGAAGGGTGAGAGCTTCTTCATTCTACCTTGAGGCAGATCTGGAGTTAGGTAGAGTAGAAGTGTCTGGAACAATGCAAAGTTTGGAAGCCCCGTGTAATACTTCACTGTGTTATCATCACCACTCAGAAAGTTTTCATTCATCCGGTACGTATCAAGCTCACGCTTCAGCTGTCTGTTTTCTTCAAGAAGATTGTTGATAACATCTCGTCTAGATGTGCAGAGTCCACATTCCATGTCCGGGTCAGCTGGCGGCTGGTCTAGGGCTGGCGGCGGCGGCGCCTGCGGCTGGTCTAGGGCTGGCGGCGGCGGCGCCTGCGGCTGGTCTAGGGCTGGTGGCGGCGGCGCCTGCGGCTGGTCTAGGGCTGGTGGCGGCGGCGCCTACTTTAACAGTAACGCATATAGCACAGTAAAAAAACTGTGTCCTCAGCACCACACTTGAACCGTGATTGTGGCTTCTTTTTAAGCCTGAAAGCAGAGGACCCTCCCAGAGCGCCCTCTGCTCTATTTGCTCCACCAGAAGGCTTACAGAATATGGTAGACCAGAAATTAACACTGCATCTGTGTTGCAGATGCGTGACAAAAGAATCTTGCACATTCTCGCTGCACTCTGCTGTATTTATGTTTGTAATAGGGCTCGCCTCAGAAATTAACCTACGTCTTTGTTCCCCGTCAGTTAAAAGTGCACCTTTATAAATAGATAACACCATTTCTTCCATGTTATAAAGAAAAATGGGTATTTTCCAGTTCAGCTATTTTATAAAATTAGGGTTAGGGAAGTAGTTGTTAGCATAGTTGTCAAGGCCAAGGGTTCCAATCCCAGTTGGCACAGGACTGAGTGGAGTTTGCAAATTAGATACAATATCAATTATCAATATCTGTTTCACTTTGATCTTAAATGTGCTATAGCCCCTGTAACGCCCCCCAAACTCTAACCGGGCAGTTCTTTCTTCTATTACCTTATTTTACTGTAACCAAAAGCTTCCTTCAGGCCAAAGTATTTCAGTTTCTTTTGACTTGGGCTTCAACATTTTCAGTAATTCAGTCTCAATCTGCTCTGAATTAATCCAGCTCTTTGACTGCCGAGTCTCCGCAGCCACATCTTCGCACATGGACAGACTTAGACTTCGCCTGCAGCCCCCTTTTTAAAAGCACAGAGCAACTTTTTGTGGTGTTCTAGGTTCTGTTGTTGGCAAATAGAACAGATAATAATTATTACTTCGCAATCAACTTCACAAATGACCCACAGCTGTTTCGGCGAAAGGGTAAAGACACTTATTTGTTCTTTTAAACCTGTCTGCAATTTACAAAAGCGGTTCAGAATGCCCATTAAAACCCGGCGCGTCCTTATTCTTGTTTCCCGCTCCACCCTCGCACACATTTGGGACTTGTTATTTATCATTTCCAGAGCGCGACAGTCAGCGACGCATAGTGCTGAATGAGACACTAACATTTCTAACATCAGCAGAAGAAAGCACAGAATGTCGTTTGAAGGAATGAAAACAAATGTGTCTTGTGTAACCAGGCTGTTTTTTTTTTTTCGTCATCTTTGCATAAACATTTGAACATACAATGTGTTCCTAATACAAGTTATTGATTCATTATGGCACGGTGCAAGTTTATGTTCCGGTTTCATCAGTTGTTGAATAGAACTTAGGCCAGTAGAGATGGGAACGGAGGAACTTTCCAGGCGATTATTGTCATTGGCCAAAAATGTCTGGATATCGCTGAGTTAATCCTTTAATGTTCTCTCCTTGAAGAAAGCAATGTCATCTACAAAAAAAAATGCTAATAATCTGTAACTGTAGAAGCATTAGAAACACCTATTTTTTCATTACTGGCTTTTTACCAAATTATTGAGATGCTGGAGACGCCCCAATGAGGTAGATTTCAGTTCCAGGCTTCAAGTCGATATAAAGATATGGAGTTATTGTTATAGACCAATTTATATCTATAGAGAGAACAGGATAGAAACCATAGACTGTTTATATTAACGTACAGAGTCTCCGCCGTTCTAACTAATGGGCCAAAAAATGTGCTCAACTGGAGCTATCCAAAATGGCCGCGAGTGGTCCCGCCCACAAGAAAATTGTGAAAAAACGCATCTGCGCATGCGTCAGCCGGCGCAGCTCCATTCATTTGAACGAGAGACTTCAAAAATTCACAGCAAGTAAACTAGAGTGGACCAAAAAAATTCACCCCCCTCAGCATTGACACACATGTGGATTGGAGCTTTGGGCCAAGAGCCAACTTTTGGTCCATCCTGTAAAGACGTTTTTGAGAGGTCTGCCAACGCTATATGTTAGCATTGGCTAATTCTTCTTCTGGGTCCACCCCCATTGGCCTGGGGTGGTATTGCAAGCATGTCAGCGCACATCATTTTGGCCACTTTTGAGCTGGGACCCGCCCCCACTGATAGAAACACATCTGGCCATTGTATATTGATATTTTCTGTTGGATGATAGATTTATGATGTAACCAAAACAATCCATTGTGAGCTTTTCTTCCCACAAATAGTGAAATAAAGGAGCTTTGTCCAAAGAGTGAGAAGTCCTTCCCAACTGGCCAGCTCCAGAGGCTGGTGATATATGAGCTGTTGTTGTAACCATTGTTCTGTTTCGTGTTGATGGATGACTTACTATATTTTTCTGAGTGAGTAAAACCTTCCATAAAACGATGATTTCCAGAAATATTTGTAGAATCAATTGTTTCTGGCTTCTGTTTGAGGTCGACTCACAAGTAACAGAAGGAGAGTCTGCTATTCTTTTGATGGAACTCATTTGAAATAGTGCATAGTCTATGGCAGGGACGTGCGGTGAGGTTTGTGATTGGGGAGGCACTGACTTTAAAAGTCAGATTTACAATCATTATTCAAATAAAATAGCATTTAATCACCAATGCAATGACATCCACAAACTTTATATACTGTAAAGATAAGAGAACCAGCTTCTTTTAATAATCTCACAACAAATCTAGCTGCTGACTCTGCTCCGCATCAAACAACATCTTTAAGAAGCGCAGGTGCGAGAGACGCGAGGAGAGAGGAGCAGAGAGAGACAGAGAGGAGCAGAGAGACGGAGACGCGAGGAGCAGAGAGAGGACGGAGACGCGAGGAGAGAGAGACGCGAGGAGAGAGAGACGCGAGGAACATAAACAATAATTTAAACAAGTTGCAGAACTCTTGAGCAGTGTTTGAATCAGTGTTTTTCGGAAAAGCACTACTTTGCCGGTATCTGTCAATGTTCAACATAAAACACAGATTAACAAACTCCTCCCCCGCAGCCGGACTAACCTCGTAAGTCCAGTGGTGGTCTCCCAGTCTATATTAATTCTTTCTTTGTTTGAAAGTCCAATTGAGAAAAAAAATCTTCATTCAAATCATCCATTTTCCAGCAAAAGAAATAGCATTTTGGGCTGATTGTTTGTTAGCAACTCTGGTATGAACTTTATGCTCACTATCACCCCTAGCGGTGAGGCACAGATACCGCCTGCCTCACGCCAAGCTTTTTCCTTGTGTGTTCATCTACGATCAAAAGACTTAAACTAAATATAAATTGTACACACATACGTGCAATACACTACTAAACACTAAGAGGAGTTTAAAAAATGTTTTTAAAGCAGGATATTTGAAACAAACGGTGATATATCAACTGCACGAGCTGAGTGCACTCAGACACACACACACACACTGTGAGGGAGCGGTCTGGGGTGAGGCACGCAGGAGCGCTGCCTCACCTCGTCTCTTTGAATAGGAATAACGGGATTTCGGCGATTTTGACTTCAGAAATGATCAAAACTGATGGGAACCGTGCCGAATATACATTAAAAGCATAGGACAGTGGATATAAATTATATATTTAAACTAAAATAATTATTAGTTTCCAATAATGGCAGGTGAGGCTCTGCCTCCCCTGCCTCCCCTGACTGCACGTCCCTGGTCTATGGCAGGTCCTCAAAGGGCAGGTGTGGCTGCAGGGTTTCAGTCCGATCAAACCAGATTAGAGAACAGTCTAGTCTTAACGTGAAGACTTGACAAAAAGTCTGCTGTGCTCCTGCTTCAATCAATCAATCAACTTATGGCGGCACGGTTGCTGAGTCGTAAGCACTCTAGGTTCTCCGCAAGAAGGTCCTGGGTCGGAATCCTGGTCGGAACAGTGACTTTCTGTGTGGCTGTACATGAGATCTATATGTTATGCTATAGGTTATCCCACTCCCATCTCTGTGTGGAGGGAGAGACAAATGCTCACAACAATTGTAAAGCGCTTTGTGACTCTGGTCTGTGAAAGACGCTATTTAAATAGAGATTACTTACTAACTTACTTTTATTTGTACAGTGCCTTTCCAACACAAATCGCCTCACAACCCATATCACATCAAGCATAAATGATATACATTAAAATCTACATCTACGAAATGAATACAAAAAACATTAACAGTGTGGTACATGTGTAATAGCACTTATAGCCAAAGCTAATTCTCAGCTCTTGTCCCTAGAATGGTTTTTGACACAAAGCAGTGGAATACAGGTTTTGGTATAAATATGCTAGAGAACAAGATTCACAAGAAAGTTATTGATGTACAAACTGAACAGAATGAGGCCGAGGGTGGAACCTTGGGGAATACCTTGGACATGCATGATTTGCGTTTAGTAATTTACACTATTGATTTTAGTGTTTTAGCCCAGCTTCCATAAGACTTGAACTGTTATAATGATGAATTGATTGAAGTTATTTGGAATATACCTATCATTTGTCTTTGATCTGATCTGTTGTAACCACAGAGAACTGAAGACGATGCTTCAGAAGGAGGACACGAAGAGGGAGCTGCTGCATGAGACCACCCTGACTGAGTCCTACTGCATCCGCTGCCTCAAACCCTTCAAGCTGCTCCTCAACAACAAGGTCCAGTGTTTGGACTGTTCGCTCTCTGTCTGCAAAACCTGCAGCCACTTCAGCAAGAAGGAGCAGGGCTGGGTCTGCCACCCCTGCCACATGGCCAGGTACTCAAATATTTCTGCTGGTATTTAGAATAGTTAGAGAGGGGGGTAATAACTGTACAAAAACATTCACAGTGATTAATTACCAAACCCATGTTGGAATACACGTGCAAAGGTCCTCAGTGTGCACCAGACAAGTACATAAATATAAGACAAGACTTCCAATACAGGTGCAAGAACATTACTGTACTTTGTTTAGACTGATTACAGCTGAAATACGCTGTTAGCATATCGAGTTGACCTGCATCTCAGTAAACGATAAGTTCTACCAAAAGGACGAAGCTGGAACATGGCTATGCCAGGGGCCAGAAGAGTCATTGATCATTCTAAGAACTCGATTTAAGACTTTAAGACATACAGCTCACAGTCCTCTTTCAGAGCGTAGCACCTCTCTGGTCTCTCTCTGGTCTTCTGGTCTCTCTCTGGTCTCTATCTGGTTTCTCTCTGGTCTCTCTTTGGTCTCTCTCTGGTCTCTCTCTGGTCTCTCTCTGGTCTCTTTTTGGTCTCTCTCTGGTCTCTCTCTGGTCTCTCTTTGGTCTTTCTCTGGTCTTTCTCTGGTCTCTCTCTGGTCTCTCTTTGGTCTTTCTCAGGTCTTTCTCTGGTCTCTCTCTGGTCTCTTTTTGGTCTCTCTCTGGTCTCTCTCTGGTCTCTCTTTGGTCTTTCTCTGGTCTTTCTCTGGTCTCTCTCTGGTCTCTCTTTGGTCTCTCTTTGGTCTCTCTCTGGTCTCTTTCTGGTCTTTCTCTGGTCTCTCTTCTGTCTCTCTCTGGTCCCTCTCTTGTCTCTTTTTGGTCTCTCTCTAGTCTCTGGTCTCTCTCTCTGGCCTCTCTCTTGTCTCTTCTGGCTGTGATGTCACCAAACCACACAGTCACAGAACCAACAAGAGAACTTTCTATGGTGCAGCGGTTCAAGTTAAGCAAAATCTTAGAGTTAGTGGTGAATTCTCGACGTTTTCGCAGAGAGAAGCGACGCTGACAAGCTTTCTTGACTACCTGACTAGTGTTTTTGACCCATTTTAAGTCTTGGCTTGTCGAAATGGAGTAACTCTATCCATACCCTTCTGAAATATCTTGTTAAATTATCTTTCTGCCTAAACTTTTTGTGGGCCAATGAAACCCCTAATACAGTACATGCTTATTGTTATGGCTCCACTATGGTATTTTTAAAGACAGAGCCCTTGCATTAGCCGCTGTGTGACCCGGAGTCTGCAGAATGTCTTCTCATGCTAAACATACATGCATCACATGACATAGACCTGTATATGGCTTCTGTCTTTTCTCTGTAATTTACTCTAGTTTTAAAATTATACATACAAAACATCTCACCTGTTCATTAACCTTCACCTTGTTTATGTAAATCAATTTCAATATTCCATCAATGTTACGTGCTGGCTCATATATACTTAAATCCAGTTGAAGGCATTAGAATTTTAGTGCAGTAATGGTATGAGCTTCAGATTCATTTTTTTTACCATTTGCAATAAAACCACATTGGAATACATGTGCAAAAGTCTCCAGTGTGCCGCAGACAAGTACATAAATATAAGACAAGCAAACTTTGAAATCAATCAACAAAAACAGTATCGATACAAGTCAAGATCATTTAAAGTGTTTTGTTTAAAGTGATAAAAGATGAAAGAATCTCAGGAAAACCATATCTTCTGTCAGAGGGAAGAAGCTGGAACATGCTTTTCCAGGGGCCAGAAGAGGCCTTTCTTTAGCTGTGATGTCACCGAACCTCAGTTACAGAACCAACAAGAAAATAATGGTGCAATAAAAGTTATGCGGGTTAAAAATAAAAGTTTCCGCAGAAAGAAGGGACTTTCTTAACAACCTGATTAGTGTTTATGACACCATTTGAAGTCTTAGCTTGTCCAATTCTGTACATTTCAGACAAAATTTGACTTTCAGAATTTCATATTTGTCGTCACAATTTGATCTGTAAATGTCTGGGTCTATTTTTTTTCCTGCAGGGTGCTAAAGATTGGGACTTTGGAGTGGTACCATGAAAACGTCCGTGCCCGCTTCAAACGCTTTGGGAGTGCGAAAGTCATGAGGTCGTTGTTCAAAAGGCTGAACGGAGAGCCCAGCGGATCAGAGAGCGAGCTGAGAGGTGAGGAGAGGGGATAAGTCTGTGTGTTGTCACTGATGTCTCCCTGTATTAAAACAGGCTCAGGTATGCACAGGTTGTAGTTCAACTCAAGGAGATTATGTGTGAGCTGATAATACACAGCCATGGAAACAAGGTTGTGTAAAAGGTCTGACATTTTCTTTCATATGTTTTTAACCACAAACATAAGCTTTGGATCCTATGCCTGCATATAAGTCCATAAAGTCTAAATTTTGAATACTGTAATAATTCTTTAGTTTTAAATTGGGCTATTTTGGACGCTGATTCGTTCATACATATGAGGTGGTGAAAAACAACTACTGTAGTCATAGCTGCCCTGGGGCACACTGACAGAGGCAACTAATATGTGTCATTGTCCTTTCTGTCAGCACCGACTATTCACACACACACCAGACTCACTGGATTTCCTCAAGTAGGAGTGGACCTTTATATATTTTGCAAGATATATCTGTATTTTTAAAAGCTGCTTCATAAAGATTTTTTTTCCAATAGAATGTGTCTGTTTTTGCAAATGAACTACTACAAAGATAAAGTAAACTAAGAAATTGACTACCTTATTTACACATTAACTTTGTCTCATCGTATTGACTTTTCTTCCGAATCATACTCCATTTTCATACAAATGATCCAACGTACTCTTTTTCCGTAATCTCATCTCGTAAGGACATCTCTGTTAATATGAGGTCAATCATCCTGGCTTATGTCTGTCCCTGCAGCTACAGTAAAGACCTGAGCCATACAGTAGGATTAGACTGTGTACTGCTGTAGTAAGTAGAGAATATAGAGTATTGAGCCACTTTGATGGAATTTACAGGATTTAGCAAAAGCAAATGCAACTTACAAACACCTCTTCAACCTGGAGGTTATCCTTATAGCCCTGTGTGTAAGTTAGGTCTGCGTAATAGTTGTTTTTTTGTCAGTATTGCATTTTAATCTGTAGCACTTCGAGGTTTTCTGGAAATGTGAGGTGAAATATGAATAAAATTGAATTATTATTATTGTTTATATATTCATATATATAGCAAGAAATAAGAGGGAAATAACCTTTTCCAGTATATTTTTCATAGATTTAAACACTGCCCAAGACAATAGATTTCCCCTCATTTTTTGGAAATGCCACATAATTTGAATTGCTTTGAGACATTTATCAACCAGTTGACAAATGAAAGTGAAAGGGGGTGGGCCCTGATATTGGATTTCCCCTACCTTCATTGATCTTTACCTTTTTCTCTCAATCCAAACATCCTTGTGTTCAGATAATACTAAACACAAAACTTATGTGCATTACTTAGATCTGCCAGATGGATGCCGTAGTTCTTTCTTTTTTTATTATAGTTTTTATTATTTTTGTGAAAGGTAGTTTACAGTACTTCTGTAAAAACTCAAGAAATAGAAAAAAAAAACAATGACAGATAAAAAAAAAGCCATAGTTCTTTCAAGTATTCAGCGTCTTGCCGCAGCTGCTGTTGAGAAGTGTTTGTGATTTCTTTTACAGTGAAGCTTTTTCTCTTTACCCAGAATTGTTCCCAAAAATTCCATCTGTTTTGTTCCTGACTTTTACAAGGCCTCAGGAGCAGCTGTTGGTCAGGGTCTTCTGCCAAACTCACAACCGAACACAAGGCCATGAGTCCATCGACATCATCACGTTTTTGACTCAACGCAATAAAAATGTAAAAACGTGCGAGAGACTTGGGGATCTTGCCATTGTATATGTGCTGTATAAATACATCTGACTTTGACTGGACTTTGAGATAAGATAAGGCCCGGATTAGACGGAGACGCTGCAAAGATATTAGTAAAAACGACCAGGCGCAGTATTCCAGGGCACAGCATCTATACGACGACGGAAAACAATGTAATTCAAGCGTTTGGCCAGTAGGGGGCAGTGGAACTTTGCAACGCCAGATTAAGATTCAGTTTATTTGCCATTTGCAGTTTACCAGACTTGTTTTGAACTTGGTTTTAAACACTGTCAGAGAAGAGGCCTGTCTCACATTTTCAGGAAGATTGTTCCAGATTTTAGCTGCATGAATTTGAAAAGCAGCCTCCCCATGTTTAGTTCTGACTCTGGGCACTAACAGGAGTCCTGTCCCTGTGCTAGAACCGCTTCCTCAATAACATTCTCCTCAGGCCGCCGCAAAAACGGGAAAGAACCAACATCAGTCTGCATTTAACAGCAGCAGTGAAAATGGAAAGTGAAACTACAGATGTGGTTTGGTTTGAACGATGGAGTAGAATCCTTCTGTTAGCGAAGCACACGTAGGATTAGTCGACCCACCGCCATTGTTGTTTACGTTCTACTGCGCATGTCCCAATGCACGAGGGGGGGAAGTGGCCTAAAATAGACTATTTGGGGGGGTCTTAAAAGGCGCTGAAAATATATTTGTGAATATATTGAGCGATGATTAAACAAAATAAACAAATCAACTTGCCTTGTCTTGTTGACCGACCCCCACAGCAGAAAACCTCAGTCACTGGGTCACTAACTACAAGGTCAAATACGCAATATCAACTTGGTAAAGTGGGCGTATTTGGTTACAACAAGGCAAATCTGCAGTTTAAAATAATGAATAAAAAAATTAAAATACCATGGTTAACAGTTTAGTGAGTGTGAATGAGCAACACATAACAGTATCCTTAAAAAGTTCCAACAGACTTTTCTAATCCGTCTTCACTAAAGTATTTGTCTCCATCTGTCCCTGTGTTCTCATGATTCAAAGTCACAAGATCAAAATGTCCTCCTTCCTTCTCAGACAGTTTGCCATAAAACTCTTGCCAAATCTATCAGAGCGATTTTAATCTCTTTTTATCCTGTTTAGTGGTTTTTCTATTCCCTAAACAGCTGCATTCAACATCCGCGCCACTGTCCCGAACTGACCACTGGACCAGGGAACGGGCCAATAGGGATTAGAACTCATGGATTAGTTTCGGAGGAATTTTCCACTATCAAAATGAACACGACTCTGCTCTCTCTCTCTAGCCTATCTAGTAAGTAAGTAAGTAAGTAATCTTTATTTATATACCGCCTTTTCACTGCACATCGGAGTCTCAAAGCGGTTTACAATTGTTATTGTTGGGAGTGGGGTCACCAGTACAGGAGGCACATGCCAGACCTATTGTACATATTTTTAGTGGTAGGGGAAACCGGAGCACCCGGAGGAAACCTATGTAGACACGGGGAGAACATGCAAACTCCACTCAGAAAGGCCCTGGTCCAACCGGGATTCGAACCCAGGAACTTCTTGCTGAGAGGCGAGAGTGCTATCCACTCAGCCACTGTGCCGCACTATCTGCTCTCTCTCCCTGCTCACGCTCTCTGGTCTTTCTATCTGGTCTTTCTCTCTGGTCTCGCTCTGGTCTCTCTCTCCTGCATGTGTCTCTCTCTGGTCTTTCTCTGCTCTCTGTCCCTGCTCTCGCTCTCTGGTCTTTCTATCTGGTCTTTCTTTCTGGTCTCGCTCTGGTCTCTCTCTCTTCTGGTGTTTCTCTCTGGCCTTTCTCTCTCTTCTAGGTCCTATCTGGTCTTTCTGATCTCGCTTTGCTTTCCCTGCTCTCTCTCTGGTCTTTCTCTCTTGTTTGTTTGTCTATCTATCTATCTATCTATCTATCTATCTATCTATCTATCTCTCTCTCTCTCTCTCTCTCTATCTCTCTCTCTCTCTCTCTCTCTCTCTCTCTCTCTCTCTCTCTCTCTCTCTCTCTCTCTCTCTCTCTCTCTCTCTCTCTCTCTCTCTCTCTCTCTCTCTCTCTCTCTCTCTCTCTCTCTCTCTCTCTCTCGCCATTCTATCTGGTCTTTCGCTCTGGTCTCTCTTTGCTGTCTCTCTCCCTGGTGTCTCTCTGGCCATTCTATCTGGTCTCTGTTCTCTCTGCTCTCTCTCCTCTGCTCTCTCTGCTCTCTCCCTGAATTCAAATTCATGCATTATTTTCAGAGGAATTTTCCACTGTTAAGAACGTGTTGAAACGCTGTTTATGAGTGTCATACTGAAAAGGAAGCACAACTCTTGCCAATAACACAATTCATTCGGTTGCATGTCGGTTCCTCCTGTTCGCCTCGGCCATGTTGACTTGTTTTTGCCACACAAAAAAAGTTGTCCTTTCTGAGCCAAAACGAATTCTTTGAACTTTGAATTGATTGGAATGGAGCTACAAAGGTCATCAGCAGATAAGACCAGGCTCAGTTTCTCAGGTCACAGAGATTTTCCTTAGATTGCATATTTTTAACAGCGTTTTGAGATAAATTGTCTTTTGTGGCCTTTTCTGGCAGCAGGGGGAATTATTAAACAAAATCTATGCGGTGACATTGCAATAAACAGTTGGAATAGATGAGTCTGTGAGCCAGGGTTCTTAGAATGAGTCTCGCAAGGATTTATGGACTATAAAAATAGCGCTGTAGAAATTCGGGTTTCTGTTGATGTCAGAGGGGATAATACACACAATGCTGCACTGTATAGATTGGGGTGTCACGATTCTCCAAATTCAAATCGATTCAATTTGTGGTCATCAGGCGGTTTCTAATGTGTGGGGTCAGCCTCGTTCACAGCTCAAAAAAGCACACATGTGACTTCGAGAGACGGAAACTAAATGAGATCATGGCCTCTGCAGATCAATGGGCTCTGGAGACTTGTTTACGCTGTGTCACCCCTGAGGATTCTGGGATACGGAGTCCAGAGAGCAGAGCCCAGAGTGTGATCAGCCCCTCACATGTCCACACAAGGCTGGATCTGGAACAAGACACGCTCCAGTCAAATTATAGATGTTTATATGACTGGCAAATTGAGTTTCCTGTATTGGAGAAAAACATGATTTTGAACTTCTGTCATTTATTCTCACTGTGTGGATGAATCTTGAACCGTGGGGATCTTTCCACAGATGTAGCTTGGCCACTATCTTGTCTCTGTGGAGATGCATTCCTCTTCTTGTGTTAATGGCTTTCAGCTTCTTGATTCATGCAACATTTTGACGGAGAAATAGTGCATTCCGAGGAAATGGGAGGTTGGATGTTTCCCAGATGATTCTGAAAGCTTTTACATTCCCACAATGTACAACTCACGTAAAGAGTATTTCTAAAGAGTAAGATAACAAACATTCTATATATTTATGATGCTGATTAAAGCTTGTATCTTCTATGTGTGATATTAAAGTGTTATTGTCTCTCTCAATGGTCTCTTTGGTTCCTCTCTGATCTCTCTCTCTCTCTCTCTCTCTCTCTCTCTCTCTCTCTCTCTCTCTCTGGACTATCTTGGCCTCTCTCTCTGCTCTTTGCTCTATCTTGGCCTCTCTCTGGTCTCTGGTGGAGGTGGAATGTTTGGTGGATTGATCGAAAACCAACCCCGGGTCTATTTTGAAAAGGGAACAATATTTTAGCCTGGTTAAAATATCTCAAAAAGTAATTTGTCCTGTATGTCTCCTTAAACACCCAATGCAAACATATACACAGAAACAGAAACTATCTCCCATGTTTTCAGCAGAGTTTCTGAATGATCTCATGAGTTTGAATCAGCGTGTTTTCTGCTGCAAACGGCTGCATGTGATCAGTGGCTTATGCTGGACATGCATGACTTCACTCTCACATTCCTGCTTGTGTAAAAGTGGAGCAGTGGTCCGCCAGGCCCCTAAAGATCCACTGGTGTCATCCTCAGTGTCCAACGAGAGACGGTTCTGGACACAGCACCGGCTTTGTCTGCAGGAAAACACATTAATGTAATTATAGCAAGCTGACTGCAAGAAATCAGATCTTTGTGTTCTGTTTCTGATTTGGATGATTTTATTTTCAGAATCAAAGAAAAAAGTGTTCATTTTAGTTTTGCTGTTGTTTTTTGTTTGGATTTAGTAGATAATATAAACTTTATTGTCCCCAAGGGAAATTGCTGTGGGATAAAGTGCAACGGATCACAGTGATTTCAAATAGAAGATCATATGGGGACTAGCCTGGCCTTAGCCATCCGTACACTCCGGTCAATCATCATTTCTCTGCATGTAACGTTTGGGTCTGGTCCCTGTGTTCGCGATTACGATCGGTTGAATTCTATCCAACCAATCAGCTAGCGCGGGAGGCGGATGTTGTAGTTAGTTGTGGGTGACGTCAAGAGTTTGCGTCGAACAGGTAGGTTGCAGTTTGGCAATGCCGTAGAATGCGATAGTAAAGTATTCAGGTCTGGTTCTATCAAGAAATTGAAGCAGGAGCAAGAGGAATGTTTAGCAAATGTAATCTCTGGCAAAAATTGTGGCTTTACTCCCCATGGGCTTCGTTAGCGGCAAAGAAGATGGCTCGGCTAAATGCTAAATGCTAACGACTCAGAATCAGAATCAGAATCAGAATCATTTTTATTGCCAACGTAAGTAACGGGAGGTCACAGACTTGGAAATTGCTTTGGCTCAGTGCAACAGTCAAAAAGAGATAATAAAAATAAGAATAAAAAACACTTCTAAAGAATAAATTTAAATTTAAAATAGAGTTACAGTTACTATTTACAATATACAAGTGCACATGGTGCACACAATGTAAGGTGACAGCAGTACAGTGAAGTAAAGTGACGTATGATGGGCAGTAAAGTGACTTTATAAAGGGCGGGGGGACAGGTTAAGAAGTGTTCAAGAGTCCAACAGCAGAGGGGAAGAAACTGTTCTTGTGGCGGGAGGTTCTAGTCCTGATGGACCGCAGCCTCCTGCCTGAGGGGAGTGGTTGGAATAGTCCATGTGCAGGGTGAGAGGGGTCGGCTGTGATACGACCAGCCCGGCCTCGAGCTCGGGCGACGTACAGGTCCTGCAGCGATGGAAGGCTGCGGCCGATCACTTCCTCTGCAGAGCGCACAATGCGCTGTAGTCTCTGTTTGTCCCTGACTGTGGCTCCAGCGAACCACACGGTGATGGAGGAGGTGAGGATGGACTCGATGATGGCCGTGTAGAACTGCACCAACATCTGTGCAGGCAGCTTGGCTTTCCTGAGCTGCCGCAGGAAGTACATCCTCTGCTGGGCCTTCTTGATGAGGGAGCTGATGGTCGGCTCCCACTTGAGGTCCTGGGTGATGGTGGTGCCCAGGAAACGGAAGGACTCCACAGAGGTGATGGGGGAGTCCATCACGGAGGGTGGGGGCGGGGGGACAGTGCTCTTCCTGAAGTCCACAATCATCTCCACTGTCTTCTGGGCGTTCAGCTCCAGGTTGTTACCACTGCACCAGGACACCAGCCGGTCCACCTCCCTCCTGTAGGCGGACTCATCGTTGTTGGAGATGAGTCCAATGAGGGTGGTGTCGTCCGCGAACTTGATCAGCTTCACGGAGTCGTGGCTGGAGGTGGCTCACTCGGGCGCATTACATTGTTTCAAATCTGCAAAAGGAGTTAACCCCTCCCACCTGTTAATGGAGCACAATTGAGCACCTCCAGACCTTAGTACGAAATGTAATTTGTACTATGGTGTGGTACGACCAGGCTATATGGGGACAGATCTGTATGAAAGAAAACCAATAGAAAGGAACATTCAATCTGGAGAGACTCGAACAGACAAAACATGGTATAATTTGAGTTGTTGACACTACATGAATCACACATATTATGACACTAAAGACAGTTTATTATTTATTTATTGGCACATAGACCCCGGTAGAGCTCTGATGATGCAGAAGGGGAAAGAGATTATGAGATGAAATCCCCCGGGCCTAGACCCTGGTGGGAGCTAGGAGAAGGATGAAAGAGCCGGCCCGGAACGAGGCGGAGATGGGGAGGAGGAGGGTTGTGGCATGATTAAGGCTGCTGCTTGGATGTAGATTTGTTGCGATACAAATTCTGTTAAAGTAACTTAATGTTATCTAAAAAGTGATTTAAATTAATAAATCCCAATTATAGCAAAAACATCTTAATAGGAAACTCACTGTTCATTCACTGTTTATTTTATGTAAGACTTGAAATGGCTTCTGTAATTGTGTTTTCTAATGGGTTTAATTCATTGGTTCCTGTTTGTGTCTCGCAGGAACCAGCGACTGTGACACCAGGAGCATGCCGGACGTGCACAGTAAGTTACATTTTTATCTAAATACTGCACATATCTTTGTAAAACTATAAATGGGGCCCCACATTTTATAAACATAAATACGAGGATGGCTAGAACAGAGTTTTCACTTAATGGTAAACTTAAAAAGGAAAAATTAAAAAGAAAATCGAAATATCTATTCAATCATTTTCAACCCCTTTATTATTAGTCCATTTCTGGGTTGGGGGGGGGGTAGCAGTGAGAGCTGCCACCCAATGCTCATAGCACCAGTTCCTCGCTGATCCTCTGCAGGTGGTGGGTCCACAGGAAGATGGCTGCTCCGTGAAACAGTCTTGGTCTTTTAGTGGGGGCTTCAGGCAACGTGGGGTTAAGAGTCTTGCCCAAGGACACAGCGACAGTAGACATTTGTGGGAGCAGGTCCCATGGTGGGCTCGAACCCACAACCTCTATGCCCAAAGGCCAATGCTCTACCAACTGACCTACTGTCAAAATCAATCCATGCATCCATTCCCCATACTCACATTCACAATCCAATCCAATCCAATCCACTTTATTTATATAGCACATTCTATAAATAGGTTTCCAAAGTGCTGCACAGAGATTAAATCAACACATTTGAATATGCACAAAGTAAAAACAATGCAAATGTAAAAAACTATAAAATCCACAGACAGAGATCACGTTTGCATAGTTACATAGGGTAGTACAGTGTATTTAATTTTATTAATTAGAATGGACAAGATTGCTTTGATAATGACAAAGGCTTTTTTTTACTATTATACATGTTAATTAGTCAGTACTAATCTAAAGTGAGTGATTTTTCAGGCCTAAATCCACAATCCTCAGTTAATAAAAATGACCTGCTTTTACATTGGAAACTGTACAATGCTAATCTTTTTAGTATTTTTTAAAATTCAAATGCATTTTAAACATAAACAACGGTTGCTAACGGACTCATAGTCACGTGAAAAGCCCAAACATAAGATGATGGGCTTAGAACTTTCTTCCGTTGCACGAAACAGTAGTCGCGCCCCAGTGGTTTGGAGGCCCTGGTGCGCATGACTCACTCTAATAGCTCGTGGGACCTCCCTGCGGATAAACCCCTTTGTGTGGGTGGTCTCCCTCCGCCGTTTTATAACCAGCTTTATATTTTCATTTGACATGTTCAAATCAAACAGAGAAATATGTTTTTAACCACAAAATCAAATAGCATATAGGTTTAAAAGCAGTGTTGCAGTAATGTATTAGTTTGGAGATCAGACGAGGCCAGAAATGTCCCGGTGCAATCAGTGAAGTTGGCTTTTGCTGAAGTGTCGGGAGCCAGGAGAGTTAAATACCTGGTTTAAAGCTTAATTAAAGATGTTTATTGGGAACGCTGTAATAACACTGGTAAAGTCTACATCTGTAAAGTCTTAGTGCTAATGTGGAAAAAATTGTATGGGAAAAGAGATGTCCGACGATAGCGCTTGGACTGAAGGATTGTTTCATCTTTTGGTTTCTTACGCTTGCCTTGCCATGCCAATAATGTATTCTTAAACGCTAAAACGTTCATATTGGCTTTAGATTTGTGACTAAAGCCATATGTCATTCACTAAGGAGAGGATTGGGTTATTGTTATAGTATTGATAGTTTATTTTGAAGAGGGACAGTACTTAAGAATTAACATTTCTGTAAGTGTGCCAGTATTAGTGCAGCTCTTTCCAACCAATGCGTAAAATGGCTCAAAACACCACAGTATAAAATATACATTCCTTTTCATGATTAATATAAGCTTTTTACTTTTTCCAAACCCTTTTCAAATACTGTCCAGGTTTTTATTATTCTATAACTCTATTTTTTTGTGAATAATTGTAGTTATTGTTCATGTTTAGAATACATAAATAAATGAATTAAAAGAGAGAACATGGTAAATAAAGCCCCTATAGATGGAGAGCGTGTAATCCATAATCACACTCGTTCATCCATAAACTGTACTGCGCCTGGTGCCACCTGGTGTCACCATGGCGCGGTCACTCTACAGAAAAAAACTGGTTCACCCCCTAGATACATGTAGTTCATGGATCCACATCAGTCTCCATCTGCTCCATCTTCTGTGCACACTCTCCTGGATCAATCGAACATGAAACAAAACTGTCGCAAAGTTCCACATCTTTCAACTACGGTCAAATTATTTTTCTCATAAAGTAGTCTAGAATCATGCTTGATGTTGGTTCGTAGAAAGTACAAATAATAGTACTTTCTACTACAAAGCAATAGTAAGAAACTGCGGGGAGGCCCACACTGACGAACAGGCGGTAGATCCAGGATTAGACCGAGGACTGAGACTGGACTGAGGAGGCTTCCAGGAGGGGAGTGCAGCCCTCGAGTCCGGGTCAGAGGAGACCAGTCCGCAGGTGAAAGAGGCCGGATTCAGGGGCCCCATCTTCATGCCATGAAACAGACAATGGGACAGTGGGTGAATAGTAAAGCCCATATTTTAATGTCAGATGTAAAGGAGAGAGAAGATGGAGCTTAAAATGCAAAGTTTCTCCATATACTAATCTTGAAGAGTGCATTTAAATCTGCATATATCTCTCTCTATATCTATAAATATAATATCAACATTTGAACTCTCAAATTTGTTTCAGGAGGTGGATATGAAGACAACAGCGTGGATCATTCAGATGGACACCACTACAAAGAGGTGAGTCAGACCATTTCACAGAATACATTTTGTTTTAGATCAACCATCTGCAAGCAGTTTAAACCATCTTGGACCTTTTGGCATTTTTAGGCGATAACAGCCAGGAAAGAACACTTTGCTAACCCCAAAAACTACAAGCAGGTTTCAAGCTGCAGTTATTATGTATTAACAATGTTTGTACAATTATCTTTTGGGAGAAGAAATGATTGACATTTTTCCCATGCACTTAACTTCCCATGCTGTTGGGATGAGTTTTCTTGATGTCCTGCTGTCAATGGTCCCTCTCCATGGTGGGGGGGGGTCTCTCTGTCTGTGGACCCTCTCTCTGGCAATACCATGGAGCTGAAGGCCTCCTGAGGGCCAGAACCTCTTTCTCTCTCCGCCTTGTGTCGTTTTGTATGTCTCTGTTTGTCTGTATATATCTGGAAACTGTTAAGTGTTAATAAATGTCTTATTTTATATTAGTTTAGTTCTAGACTAAAATATTAGCGCTAGAACTCCCATATCAGTCAATTTGGCGGTTTTATTTTGGAAATGTAAAACCCTAAAAGTTATTGTGTGTTTTCAAATAGTAATGGAATTGACCAGATGCCCATAGTCTCCAAAAATAAATAAAACATATTTTGGACCGAGAAAAATAAACTAATGGGATTCGTTCATTCCCAATGAACCAATGGCCGCCCTTTACTCTCTTCCTGTGGACGCACTGGAGTTATCTGATTTTCTTAAATCTAAAAGGGCTGAACAGGAAATGCAAATTTCACGTTTGCCACCCACTCTCCCTGTTGTGACAAAGAAAATAAAATGCTGGATGTTTGGTTTGGTGGAGAGGCGAGGGGAGGATGGACTGGTTTCCAGTTGGTGCTACGGCTAAGCTAACCAAATCACCTACTGCACCTTTAACTGTCAACCGTTAGTATTTTGTCTTTAGCATCAGTCTTTCAACAAACTGTTTTTGATGTGTTTCAAGTTACTTTGTATTTAGCAATTTCAGCCCTTACTAAACTTGTTTATTTTTTTTTTTGAGAGACCTTTTTGGGGACATTTCTGAGAACTCCATTGGTTTGAATGGGAGCAGTCAAAATGATGGCTCTGTGAGTTTGAGAACTTTCATAATTTTAAGAAACCACAACTAGATTCTCATTAGTGTTATATTATCAATCACGCCATGTTGTGTTTGGTAATTTTTGTTTATTAAATTCTGATCCTGTATTTGCTTCAAAATCTAAATGACTCTCGTAGACCCGTTTGCATATTCAAACCAGCTCTCACCGCCGCAGTGCATTATGGGTGACATTCCAGGCCGTCATGCTAAATCTCACTCACCGAGGCACTTGTCCAAGTCTTGTAAAACGTCCATACAGTCCACTGGAAGCCATCATAAAGCTTCCACTGCTATTGTTTAGGACTGCTGTGAAAAGTAGCAGCCCATTTTTCAATTACTGACGATAGGAAACTATTCTCAAATAAATTGTTTTCATATATTTTATAACATATGGCAAATGGAAACCTAGATTATATTTAATTTGCATGTCTTTTAGCAATGGTTAGTGAGAGTGCAGCCACAGGAGAAAGGCATGTGTTGAACAGTGCCCTCTTGTGTTTGCTCTGGTGTATTGCAAATGTTGAACTTCAAGAAGTTATATATTTGCTCATTCCTGTTGCATGAAATTAAGCTATCTGAAGTTATGAATTTTAAATAAACGTACATAAGTTTTCATCATTAAAAAAAGAGAAATCACACACACATAGACACATACACCACACACACACACACACACACACACACATTTAAACACATCCTTTATTTGTCCCACAATGGGAAAATGTGTTGCATCTCCAGTTACAGACCAGTATGAGCGAGGAGCACACAGCACAATATAGTTTTTTTTTTTTTAGTTTATTAATTTATTTCAACAGGGACAATGTGCAAATACATTAATTAAAGATGCTTTGCACCAGATTTAGCTTGAGCTAGTTTCCATCTGTAGTCCCTGAGCAGGTGAGTCACAACATGTAAAATATAAAATATGAAATAAATGAACCATAACTCCAGACTACATCAAATAGATACAAATTTCAAACTTCAGCATAAAAACGAAGCAAGTGATATAATCTGAGATAAGATAGGATTTTCTGAAGTGTCTTGCCTCGGGACACAGAAGAACTGCACTCAGAGCTGGGATTTGCTGTTGTATGCATGTATATAGAATATAAGATAAGATAAGATAAACTTTATTGATCTCACAGTGGAGAACTTTACAAAATATATATCAGGAAGCCAAGTCTGGTGAGGCAGGTCTATACCATAGAGCAGATCACAATAAATTACAAATACATATATAAATACAGTGATGACAAAAAAACAATAAATATATAAGTTTTCAATACAAGAAAGAATACATGACAAGACGATGCTAAATATGATACAAAATCAGATTTCTATGTTTGAATGTGTTCTGTGTGTGTGAGATATTGTGAGATATATCATACTTTTTTCTTTCTCATTTTTTATAATTCTGTTGGTATCGTCTCCTCTGCTCTGTTAAAGATGAAGAAGCCAAAGCGGCGCCTCACGGTGGACCCTGTGGAGCTGGGCATGGGCTTTGACTGCGTGAGCGAATCCAGAGGGCGATACTATCAGGTGGAGGGTTTTCAAATCTGCATGAAGCTCATCAAAATATGACTTTCCATTATCTTCGTTTCAATATCTGTGGAATTCTTCTGTCATCCGTATTAACGATCACATCAACTTTTAGACAAAATAATAATAGTGTAATAATAGTAAATAATTATGATTTCTTTTTCACAATAAAAAAAGGTTAAAGGTCTTCTGCACAGTAAATGGAGTGTGATTTTTAGGTAAATCTCGGAGGTGCCATTCCAATGTCAGATGGTTTACCAACACAGTTCTTTAAAAATACAAGTAAATGAATAAGCGCGCTCTCTTCCAGCCGCACAGCCCCAGCGACAGTGTGAGCGACGTGGGGAAGAGATCGGACTACAACAATGGAGGACTGGACTACAGCCAGGGGGCGGAGTCTGCTATCAGCCCGCATCAAGGTGAAATAAGAAAACAAACGGCTTTATTGACTTGTTTCGACTTATTAAAAGATGGTGTGTTTTTGCTGTTCTACGTAGAATCAAAGTGTAAGTTGAAGACGTACTGTTTGAAATGGTAACAGTATCCAAGTGTTACTTTTACAAAAAAATACAATACAATTCTCACAGTAAAAATATTCAGAGAAGGAGAAGAAATTGTACAAATGCTACTTCTTTCATGAATTTCTGTATCAAATCAGGTCGCAGCTGCCCTTGACACACCCACACCCAACACATAAAGAAAATACAGAGGCCCAAACCCTCCCTGACCATACCCCTCCCTCCCAATGCCTTGCTCCTTGCGTACATCCCTCTAGTTTCCTTATTTAGTAACTATAGTGATATTTTTCTTATCAGATGAGTTCCTGTTCCTGGACGGCCGTGGTCCGCCTCGCTCCGTGTCTCGTCTCAGTTATTCGTCCTGTGGCAGTGGGAGCCTGGGACCCCGCAGCTCCTCCACCTTCCTCCCAGGAGCCGAGGACTCAGAGGAGGACGAGCCTTTCCCCACCATCCCCCTGTACCAGAGCCACCTGTACAGCCACACGTCCCAGGAGAGCCTGCACTCCAACAACCCTCACCAGGTATCCAGCGGAAGGCTTTTTTTGCTGATCAACAGAAAATAACTGGGAATTTTCCTAATTGAAGGTCGGCTCTGCTTAGGTAACTTGAATAAAGTTGAGTAAAATGTGTTCTAGCATAGACTTGACTTATTAGACAAAGAAATGACATTGAATCAGATCTGTGGAGAGATGAACGTGCTCCCAATTAGAAAGCATGAAAGCACAATCCTCAAGGTAAAAACTGGCAAAACTGAGTTGAATCAATTCAGAAACAGAAACCTCATACTGTGTGGAACATCGCGCCAATAACAGTTGACTCAATGTGAAATACTGCACATTTTATGAAGCAATATTCACTCTGGCTTTGTCACTACAGTCGTCATAAATCCATTTTTGATTTATCTTGTCTAAATATCTGGATTAGAGCTTTGTGGTGCAAGAACAGAGCCGTGTGTTTACCATCATCTGTCCAACCATAGTTCCTCTTACAGATACACAACCCCAATATAAAACTGTTCGGATCATTACAAACTCTTTGCCCACCGCTGGCAGTCTGACATCAATCACAGTCCATGTGGTTTGGGAAAAGTAGTTCAAAGCATTTTCTTTTTTGGCTAAATATGAGAGAATTGAAAGAAGATGTAAATTTTAAACAGACCACAGAGTAGCATTCTGTAGACATGTGGTCCAGAGCAGTAGCATAAACCTGACATACTGTAGAACCGTGACTCAGAGCAGGGCAAATGAAGTATTTAGTCAGTCAGCTATTGTGTAAGACCTCGCATTTCAAAAGATGAGAGTAATTTTAATTGTGAGAGAGACAGAATGAGAGCTCTATCTTTTCCAACAAATGGTATTTACCAGACTGGTCTTACTATACCATCGTACTGATTTCATTTCGTACTAAGGTCTGGATTTGCTCCAATCTCCTCCAATACTTTTTGTTGTCCTATACAAGCCACCGCAGTCATGTCACAGTTTTATTAATAATTTTACAGAGTTGCTTTCAGTTGTATGCACAGATTTTGATAGTTTAGTTATTACAGGTGATTTTAATATTCATGTGGATAATGTTGATGACAGAAATGCTAAAGAGCTGAGTTCTGTTCTTGAATCTTTTGGTCTCACTCAGCATGTGAGTGGCCCCACCCACAGCAGAGGGCACACTCTAGACCTGTTAGTTACAAAGGGGGTGAACATTTCTAATGTAAACGTGGTCGATGTTGCGCTTTCGGATTATTTTTGTATATTTTTTGACATGTGTTTCACTAACAAACCACCAGTGGACTCTGCAACTGTACGAAGAAGACACATAAATGAAAATACAGGTGAACTATTTATGGGAATGATAAACTTTGAGAATGCATTGTATTCTACTGTAGATGAACTGTTTAACTCTGTCACCTCTAGTGTTTTGAAAGTTCTGGACACCATCGCTCCTGTGAAGGTTAAAATAGTGAAAAATAAGCAGAAGGCGCCGTGGGCTAAAGCAGACTCGGTCAGGGCACAAAAGAGAGAGTGCCGGAGGGCCGAGCGGAAGTGGCGCAAGTCCAACCTCCAGGTTGATTACAAGATCTTCAAAGATAAGTTGTGCGAGTTTAACCGGGTGCTACGCAGTACGAGAGAAAGGTATTTTTCTGAAATGATTGAAGGCTGCAGCAACAATCTGCGTGTTCTGTTTTCAACAGTTAATAGATTAACAAACCCCCCTGTTCAAATGCCATTAGAGCTAACTTCCAAACGTAAATGCAATGAGTTTGCACATTTTTTCAATGACAAGGTTCCAGGCATCAAAAACGCCATTGTCTCCAATCCACAGATAACCATCCAACAGCCAGAAAGGCTCTTTGAGCTAACTTACTTTGCACCTGTAAATGATAAAACTGTCCAAGAGATAATCTCCAGTTTGAGCTCCTCCACATGCAGCCTGGATGTACTACCCACTAGATTTCTAAAGTCTGTTCTGAGCAGTCTGTTACCTTCACTCACACAGATAGTAAACATGTCCCTTAATTCTGGAATATTCCCAAAGGCCCTGAAAACTGCAGTCATCAGGCCCCTGCTAAAAAAGAGCAGTCTGGATGCTACGGTACTTAACAACTATCGTCCCATCTCAAATCTGCCATTTATGGGGAAAGTCCTTGAAAAAGTTGTCTACCTACAGCTTACTAGATTTCTTATAATCAACAACTCATTTGATATGTTTCAGTCCGGCTTTAAACCCCACCACAGCACTGAGACTGCTCTCGTCAAGGTTACAAATGATATCCGGCTGAACACTGACGCAGGCATAGTCTCAATCCTAATCCTGTTAGATCTGAATGCTGCCTTTGACACCGTCGACCATGAGATCCTCTTACAGAGACTAGAGGACTGGGTTGGAGTCGCTGGCACCGCCCTAAGTTGGTTTAGGTCTTACCTTGAAGACAGGAAGTACTTTGTGGAGATTGGAAACTGTGTCTCAGATCATATGGCCCTGACCTGTGGAGTCCCACAGGGGTCGATCCTGGGACCTCTTCTGTTCAATCTCTACATGCTGCCGTTAGGTCAGTTAATACGCAGAAACAAAGTGTCCTATCACAACTATGCAGACGACACTCAGATCTATGTCTCACTGACTGCAGGAGAACATGGACCAGTGGATTCACTCCTTCACTGTATCCAACAGATCAGTGAGTGGATGCAAAACAACTTCCTTCAGCTAAACGCAGACAAAACTGAAATGATTGTCTTTGGTCCCCAGAAACAAAGAGAGAGCGTCATCTGTCATCTACAGTCTCTCTCCCTAAAACCTTCAAACAAGGTCAGAAATCTAGGGGTAATACTGGACTCAGACTTAAATTTTAATAGCCACATCAAATCAGTAACATCAGCAGCTTTTTACTATCTAAAAAACATTGCCAGGATCAAAAACATAGTGTCTAAAGCAGACCTGGAGATTCTTATCCATGCATTTGTCTCCAGTAGGTTAGACTACTGCAATGGCCTGCTCACAGGTCTGTCCAAACAGGCTGTAAAACAGCTGCAGTACATTCAAAATGCAGCAGCTCGAGTCCTGACTAGAACCAGGAAGTACGACCATATTAGTCCGGTCCTCAGGTCTCTGCACTGGCTTCCTGTGGCTCAGAGAATAGACTTTAAAACAGCTTTGCTTGTGTACAAGTCTCTCCATGGCCTCGCACCAAAATATATTAGTGACATGTTAGTCCCATATGAACCAGCCCGGACTCTGAGGAGCACAGGCACTGGACTCCTGTTAGTGCCCAGAGTCAGAACTAAACATGGGGAGGCTGCTTTTCAGATTCATGCTGCTAAAATCTGGAACAATCTTCCTGAAGATGTGAGACAGGCCTCCTCTCTGACAATGTTTAAAGCCAAGTTAAAAACGGTGCTGTTTAGCTGTGCATACAACTGAGGGATTTTATATTTTTATCTTTCGTTTTAATGTTCTGTGATTATTTATGATTTTAATGCTATCTTGTTCAGCACTTTGAGTTGCCTTGCCTTGCCTTGCCATTTGGGTTCTGTTAACAGGTGGGACGGGTTAACTCCTTTTGTTGATTGAAATTATTGGATCTGAGTTTACCGTGATGTATATAATGCGTTCGAGTGAGCTAGCTTTAGCATTTAGCTTAGCTTTAGCCATCTCCTTTGCCACTAACGAGGCCCGTGGGGAGTAGAGCGACAACATCTTTGCAGGAATGACATTTGCCAAAGATTTCTCTTGCTCCGGCTTAAATTTTTTTATATTTGGAGCTGAACCAGAACGGATTACTTTACTTTCAAATTCTCCGCCATTGCCAATAGGGGTGTGATGATATATCGATTTTCGATATATCGCGATACTTTCTCCCGCGATTCGATTATCGATATGCATTTGCCAAGTATCGATATCGATATCGACTTTTTATTTAATATATTTATTTATTTTATTAATTGGTATCAATACTTAAATGAAATGGAGATGCGTAATGTAGCAATATTATCATGAAATAAAGTGTATTTTTTCTTTTATTTATGCCATAAATTGGCATATTGTTTATTCCTGACCAATATGTCGATAATCGTCATATCTTGATAAAATCGTTATCGTGATACCGTTATCGTGATAATATCGTTATCGTGAGCTTTGTATCATGTATCGTATCGTATCGTGAGGTACCCTTAGGTTCCCACCCCTAATTGCCAACGTACAACCAGCAAATTTGTTGCAAACTCTTGACATCACAGACACCTCCCTACAACACTTGCCACTGATTGGTCGGAGGGGATTTAACCGATTAAACTGCAGCCACTTGAGAATTGTTCGTGTCCTGTCACACAAATAATGTACCGCCGTTTTAAATGACTTTGCTAAGGTCTGTACTCATGAAAAAGCAGTAAAATACAATCATCAGTAGCTTAAATGTAAGGAACAATATGAAAGCTACTCATGATAACAACTAACAACTTGCTTCCAGTTGGCAGTTGGAAGAAAAATGTCGCTGCTTCTAAGTTTAGGGACGGGAAGTGTGATTTAGGCTGAGAGGGTCAGGTCAAGGAGGCCATGTCCAAATGCAAGTCACTGCACGCTAAAACTGGACCTGGCCTCCTGACTGGGAGAGTCAGATGGCCAGTCCCTGTGCTCCTCAGAGTCCCAGCAGGAGGCCAGTCCCTGTGCTCCTCAGAGTCCCAGCAGGAGGCCAATCCCTGTGCTCCTCAGAGTCCCAGCAGGAGGCCAGTCCCTGTGCTCCTCAGAGTCCCAGCAGGAGGCCAGTCCCTGTGCTCCTCAGAGTCCCAGCAGGAGGCCAGTCCCTGTGCTCCTCAGAGTCCCAGCAGGAGGCTAGTCCCTGTGCTCCTCAGAGTCCCAGCAGGAGGCCAGTCCCTGAGAACTGGACTACAGTGATTGTCACTCATATGTGGTATCTTTAAAGTTATGGGTTTGAGACTAGAATAACTGACTGTCATTATATTAGTAGCACAGAGATCTACTCTTAATGAAGTTGCTCGTATGAACTGTTTCATGTGTCGCACAGTCCTCT